TCTCTATCGGCTAGTCTTATGCTCCGAATAATCATAGATTTTAAAACTCAAACCTTTGTTTTGTAACTATGATTGGAAAAGAAGTTAAGTATAAGGCCAGCATGTATTGGCTTTCTATAGACATCCCTGCTTAACTTCTCACCTGTTCTGATCACTAAGACATCTGAAAAGGGTAAATAATTGTTCATCTCCATCTCCGTTGTCAGCCTAATATTGCAGTCCATCTGGTTAATTAAAAACAATAAATTATCTAAACTATCCTTGCCATTCTGCCATATGGCAAGAAGATAATAAAAAATTACTTGTGCTTAATTAATAGACTCAAGGATAGAGGGGGGGTTGAACCGCATGCAAAAAGGAGGCGACGTAACTAGTATTTTCTTATTTTTCGTATTTAAGCAGAATTTCGAGACTACCAGTAAATCAGTAATATGAGATGTATTCACTCTATTTTGTTGAAGGTGATGAAGGACTGATAGTAGAATTTTCTCACAATGGTATGAATAGAGCTGAGGTTTCCATTGCATTTCACATATTCTTGCTTTCCAAAAGTTTTTCTCATCCAGGCACAAGTTGACTACAGTTTCGACCTCGCATCGGTCTTATCAACACCCCCAGCGGGAATTGAACCGTGACAGTGCAGAATGTGAGCTTTACACATTAACCACTCGGCCACAGTGACACAAGTACCTTTGGATCACAGGGCAGATGCGAATTTCGAGGAAGACCAGGCCTTTTTCCATATCACATTTTTAGTGGAATTGTCGATGAAGCAAACTTATTTTTGCTATAACAATCGACTAAGTTACTTATTTTTCGTATGTAAGTAGAGTTTCGAGACTATTTGGAAAGCAAGGCTATTTTAAATTCAATGGATACCTCAGCTCTACTCATATCATTGTGGGAAAATTCTACTGCCCGTCCTTCATCACCTTAAAGGAAATAGGTTGAATACATCTCCTATTACTGATTTACTGGTAGTCTTGAAACTATAATTACGTACGAAAAATAAGTAACGTAGTTGATTGTTATAGCTAAAATACGTTTGCAATCCCACCAAATAATGTGATATGGGAAAAGGCCTGGCCTTCCTCGAAATTCACAACTGTTCTGTTACCCAATGGTACTTGTGGCAATGTGGCCGAGTTGTTTACGTGTCAAGTTCAAATTCTGCATTGTCAGGGTTCGACTCCTGCTGGGGGTGCTGATAAGACCGATGCAAGGTCGAAACATCAGTTCACCCTGGACGAGAACAACTTCTGGCAAAGCAAGGCTATGTGAAATTCAATGGGAAAATTCTACCCTCATTCCTTATCACCTTAAACGAAATAGAGTGACTACATCTCATACTTGTTTTTTCTTGTCTTAATTCTAATCATAGTCACTTATCTGTACGTTTAGCTCACTCTTTTTCTCTCGCATTAAGACCAAAAACAAAAATTAGTCTCATCAACAATAACAGACGACTCTCCGACCTTGCGCAATCGGAGTCATGCTTTTAACATGCATGTCGAAAGGAGGTGATATGGGTCATCAAACCATGATGGCCGAAAACAGACGTTACTTTTGCTGTCCTAATTACTTTGAGCCATCATTGTGGCTTTCATGCATAAGCCAACACAAACAGGCACGTAGACAAACAGATACAGACACACTCACAGGCTTTGAAGTCGAAATTTGACCGCAACTAACCAAATCACTTTATAACTGATAAAAGAGACCAGATATAGAGTATGTATACCGCTTTTTAGGGATTTGCCGGGGAGTTAACTTGACTCGTTAGCTTTAATTTGGTTGTGGCGATGATGTTCGTCATATGACGGACGAAAATTTAGCACCTTTTCACCGGAATCGAATGTGATTACCTCGGAAACAGCATCAGCATGAATGTTCCAGTAAAGCCAATTGGCAGCTGGTTGAGAGGAATCCGCCGTCGTCTTCTGGTGGAGTCGAGCTTCGAATCTCTTCACGAAACACTTTTACTCGAAATGTGAAAAAGCACAACATTAAAGAAATCTATCTCAATTGCAATTGATTTATCTTAACTTTTTTATATCATACTTTTAAAATCTTAGATTGAAGATCTGGATCCCGAGGTTTATGGATCAGCGATTTCATATGCGGCTGTGGCTCGTAGACTTGCTTCAGACCTTACCTTCTCCTCAGGTATCGGCACTGGGATTGATGTTTCCTCTCGTCTCTCACAGCAAGATCTATCTCGTATTGCCCGAATTAAGCTTGGGACGCATCAATCTACTCCGCTCAACCCCCATCATCTCCACTCTTTACTGCCCTACTTTTGTTCTGTCTGCCGTCTCCGTTATCAAATTTCTGGCATACTGCCTTCAAAACCTCGCGGACCTCTACTAGTCGTATCTCGAAGGCGAGCAAAGTCGCAGCCTACAGTTGAAGATGGACGGCAGATATCTGGAGAACTCTCTGGTAAAAGGCTTGCTTCCGACTATTACTTAGGTCTTTTTGCATTCTCCTCTTGCTGCTCCTCATCGTCCCCCTCTCAGGCGTTAGGTTCTGCTACTTCGCGCTCATGTTCTCTTGAATCCCTTCTTCCCTGTGAGACTTCTTCCTCAACTTCATCCTCATACTCATGTTCATCTTCGTCTTCATACACTTCCGCATCCTCAAACTGTACGTCACCTCTCTCCGTTACGGATAGCATGGACGACGAGACCTGGGAACCACGTGAAAGTAAAGGAGCCGTCGCCTTCAAAATTCCTGGGAAAGGGCCATCAAATGTGCGAAATCTGACCAACCGGAATTCTTCAAGTCGACTGCTTAATTATCCCTTCCCTAGGCTTTGGGAAAACGATGATGATTCCATAAATTTTTCCGAGTACGCTCTCATTCATTTTTGAGAATTTAACTTTGTACCGATATTATTATAAAGGTGATAGTAATTTTTTCTATAAATTAAAATCATACCCGCAATATATTTAATCAAGGCACATTTAGCCTATTCTGTTTGCAAACTCCTACTGGTAAGCATTTATAATCTTTTGCTAGACTTTTTACAGTTTCATTCTATCAGCATAGAAATAGTCTTCAGACTCATTTCACATCCTTCTCCTCTTTTATGTAAGCACATGTGTTTTTCTCTTTTGACAGCCCATACCGTACGTTGTTTGTTTAGGCTGCTAACTTGACACTTAATTGAAGATATAGATATCAAGATTGAGTGGTCTATTTTTTGGTTGCAGTGTCCTTTCGAAGATATGAAGAAAATAGAAGAGCTCCTTTGTGATTTATTGTAACATGACTTTCCATTTCGAAGGAAAAGTTGGTTTGAAGAAACTCGTGAAATCGTCTCACCTGAAACCAAAGGAGGATTGCCTCGAAGTGAAGACTCGTGTATTGTACGAAAAAGTCTTCGGCTCACTATCCTACGACCCTGATGAACATGTGCTAGGCCTTCGTCTTTCTCATCATGACAGGCATCATCAAAGCAAGAATCTATTCTTTACGAAATAGAGTCAAAAAATATATTAAACCAATATAAAAGGTGGCTAGCTGCAACTCTAGTCACTTTTTTACACACCTTACCTTGCGATCCTGATGAGGCATCGCATGTTTTTGTTGGCTACTTTAAAATTAATTTACACCCTTGCAAATTAATGAAATTAATTCACGAACCGGAAGTGGATTCGGTGACAGCTGTTTCCTTAAACGAACTAGCCTATGATCCTTTAGTTCGGTCTCATACTTGGGTATGGGTTGTTGTCTATTGTGTGTATGCAATGTTCATGCCATGTCAAGTGTGATAGTCCTAGCTAGACTCGAGACTAATTTAGCCTTCTTCTCTTGTCTAATGGCTCCTTCTGCTCTCCCTCTTCTTAGGCCTATCCAACAGCCAAAAATAATTCCTACTCAGCTTTCTAAACTTGTTCCTCCTATTCAGGACGTTGGTTGCTTGTTAATTTTAATGGACTAAGTGGGTTGACCTCGTTGCCGCAACTTGGTCTTGTTTTCAAGGCGACTTAGTAGAACACACCTTGTCCGAAGTCCTCTGCCATACTAGTTACCATAATTCTCAGAATCAGACCGTGTACTTGGTACCTTCTCTAAGGCCTTTATTGCCTAGTTTTTCAGAATATTAGTGCGCATAGAGACTACATCGTCCGACCCTAAGCTAACTTTATATATTCATAGGAATTCCTTGTCGGAAACTTCCAAGTTCTGGAGATTTGTTTTAACTGAGTACAAATAAAACGTGATATTCTATGCATCACGCTACCTCTATTATTTACAATAACCCTAAGCGGAGTATCTTCCTTATGAATTTTGGTCAGACCATACGCTTTTGGGGGTTTAGTATCTCGCAGGAGAAGTGCGTTCATTTTCCACTTCAGTTCTCCGGTGTTCACACATTGTTGCAGAAAACCCTTCGCACCGTTCACTGATTCCTCTGTCTTATTAATAATACTAGTTTCCGTCATCGGACCGTGGATTTGGTACATTCCCTGGCCTTTACCGATATTATCAATGAGTCTTATCACTCCTTGGATGAGTTGTAGCTTGATGCTAATAATAACAAGGCCCACTGAAGATACTAGCGAAACTCCTTTAATGCCCCAAATTTACTTTCCGACTCTGGACATTCTTATGACTATGGCAGAAGACTCAGGCCAAGGTACTCTAAATGTATTAAATTATAATAGCCAAAACCTCCGGTTATCACATACTACCTCATCCATTAAAATAACGAAGTCCTTTATACGTAAAAATTTTATTTAGCTACTTCCATTATTAAGTATAATCAATAACAGTAGTAGCTATTGGCTATATTACCTTTGGTATTTGCAATATTGCTGTTGTGCTGCCAGTTATAGTAAGACCTTAGATGATCTTTCTATTTGGAATTACTTTGAGTTTTGACACTATTTAGCCCATCAAAGAGTATAACAGTTAAGACTAAATTAGGTTTTTTATTCCTTTTTTGCAGACCTTGGCCTTTTTATCCTTCATCCCCGTCCCCAATTTATACATTACCTTTCCCAACTTTCTGATACATGATTTAGTTCAAAAGTCCTATATTAAAAAAAAATATATTATTAAGTAAAGGCCGAAATTTTAAATAAACTGCATCCCAACTTTACATTTCATTTTTGACGGCATCTTTTCTTCATATCACTCTTTAAATATTATACTAAGAGTTATTCTTTTCTAGCTTATCCATCAATTTACTATTTTAAAATTGCTTCGATGTTTGCAGGCGAATTACATGCTAACATAGAAATTTCATCAAAATGAGTACTTTCTTAACTTAATTAGCATAATTCTTGAGGATTAGCAACCAGAAGAGTGTAAGATATATGGAAGCTTAGATAGGTCACCATCCTGAATAAATGTATTTTTGATCTTAAAATGATACATTTTTTGAGTTCAGAAAAGGATTACTTGGCATGTAGTCTCCTCCTACATTGGATTATTTTCACAAAGGCTTTATCATCACTAATTTGTTTACTAATGAATCCTTATGGAGGGAATCTGGTAGAGATCATTACTTTCTACTCACTTATTCAACAATATATGCAATTTCCTTTCCTTACCTTTGCCTTATTCCAGATACCTCTGTTAACTTGCCTCTAAAATCTGCCTCTTAAAATGTTTTCCCTTAGTTCTAGTCCCAACAACTCCAGTTCAGAATCGGAATCCAACAATTTGATAGGTGGCCAGCTTAAATCTCAAGTTTCCTTCTCCACGCATAAACCTCAGACTCCTTCTACCTCATCTTTTGTGGATACTCTGCCCTCCCTCCAATTTTCTGCTTCATCGAATAAATATAAAACTTTCCCACTACCACTTCCAGACAGCCTCGACTTGGAAATGGGTCTTCCTAGCCTTCTTCCTCTATGGCTGTGTTTGGCGCGCATCCCCTACGAGGTGGCTCGTGAGGGGGTGCGAATTCGTCTTTCAGAACACGATCAGAAGCGAAGTCGGTAAGTAAGTTGTTTTATTCGAGGGAGAATTTCGTTCACTTTCTAATGTAATTCGACACGTTATTCTACGTTCTTATGTATATAAATACTTAATTTCTGTGCTTTTAATAAGAGTAAAACACGTCTCATTACAGATAATTTATATAAAAATGGGTGTTTCTTTCGCATAAATTTCTCACTGAATTAAATAACTGCATAGCGCATCTAATTCTTTAGTTTAATATTATACTCTCTGCTTATTACAATAAGTAGTTCGGGTGGAGTTTATTTCTAAATCGTGTGTATTTACTTTGAGATTGTTCGGCTAAGTTTTTCGTTGATTTGTCTCACTAGCAGCTGAAAAGGCAGTGGATGGGACATAAGTTCACAATTTCAGGCTAAGAAAACTTAACTCACCTTTTGCCCTTATCTTGTCATCCGTCAGTCAAGATATCCTGGCTAATGTCGTTGCGTGATCTGACCTCGTTTTCACAACTCGGTTGTGTTGTCAAAGCGACTTAGTTGGATGCACTTTGTCCGAAGTCCTATGCTATATTAGTTATTTTTCGTTGAGTAGGTTTTCGATTATCAGTTTTTCACCAGCTTAAACGAAATAGCATGAACACAACTAATGTACATTAGCTAGATAACTATCAGCGTTGGATTTGGTACAGTTCAATACCTTTTGCCGGCCTCGTTGTCGATTCTTGCCTTTCTTAGGACTAGACTACAACTCAACAAAGTGACAAGTAAAGTCAAACCCTTGACCAACTTTCTGCAGAGCGGTTGCGCTATCATTCCTACTTAGGTGATTATACCTGCTCCCTATCTTCGTATCTCATTTCATCTTAACTTCTTACTTATTTATATTCGATTTCTTTACAGGTGTTCCCTTTTTGACGAGTTTGGTGGGGCGTTATCACACTTGCTTGTTTACCCGGCCCACCCACCCCCTCCATTTCGATTTGTAGGCATGCCTTATCCGAATTGGGCTTCTATCCGAATCTCCATAATTTCCCTGGATATTCGTTTCATATCTTTATGGATGACTGATTTCACTCAGTTCCAGTCAAATTATACGTTTTTCTTCAGGACACAAGAAGCGATAACACAACTGTTTTGGCAGATAGTTGGTCAAGGGTTTGACTTCACTTGTCTCTTTGACAGATTGTAGTCTGATGCTAAAATGGCAAGACTCACTGAAGAACGTCTGGTAATGTACCAAGCCAACGATCCAACGGAATTATCATAAATATTATTACTATTATTACTATTGCTGGGGATCCCGAACAAGGTATGTACCAAGTCAATAGTCAGATGCGTCAGGTCTCCCTGATGCTCCGACCAAATTGCGAAAACGAGGTCGACCCAACACTTTATCCAAAAAGTTGTTGCACATTCGTTAGGCGTGCATGGTATTGTTTTAATGATGTATCAATCTATCTTGGAAAATTTATATTAAACTTAAAATACTTCAGACAGAATATTTCTATTTTCTGAATTATGGATTTTCATTCTTAATGATTATCTTGAAATTTATTTATTCCATATGAAAAATAATGATTTGGGATAATTTTTACCGATTGTATGAGCCAATTATGCAAATGTACGCTATATTATAGTTTTCAGATTCACCTGGAACCTGATATTAAAGCCTTTTCTTTATTGCATTCTATTTCATTTTTTCTAAAATATCAATAGGAAAGAATTCTTCGGACGGCTTTTTAGTTTTTTTATTTAATATACTTTAGGACCTCTCACCTCTTTTATTTGGT